CACGCTTGACTTGGTGTGTCCTTCTTCAAAACAACAGATGTTGCTGCTGAGAAATATATATCCACCCTGCTGGAAAGCACCAGAGCAGGTAACTCAAAGGAAGCATGTTATCCAATCACAAACACCAAGGAAGTTTCTGTACACTTTATTGCAGAGCATCACATATTTATTTGTTAATATTTTGTTTGTGTTGAACTCCTCCTCTTTAAGTCCTTGTGATAGATTACATAGATACTAGCAGAAATGGTTTTACTAACCACTGCAAATTACTTTTGTTCACACCAAGATTAATGTCCATTTGGGGATGTGCAGCCATGCAGAAGGGCATCAAGATATTTAAGATACATTTCATTTAGCTTTTATCTTCATTACTTATTGTAAAAGTAAAAATTATCTTCAAATGTTATTGGAAATCTGCAGTTAATTTGTCTTTATGATGTCTGAACTCTGAGGTCCCATCATTATGTGCAGGTTTTGAACAAGCGTAAAAAGTGAAATTTGGAGATAATTAATACTGGATTAGGTGGAGTTCTGCTGTGTAGCAGATACAATGAGCAGCTACATCATCATGATCCGATGCATTCAAAATAAACACAGACCCAATACAACTGAACAACAACTGAAGGTAAAATGGTATTACATGTGCTCGAAAAATACATAACACAAGCCCTTATATGAACTTTTTGATCTTCACTGGAAAAACATGTTTCACTCTTAAAATAACAAACATACCAGTAAAATAGTTTAAATGTGGTCAGATGAGGACCCAACTAATAAAAGAATAACTTTCAAAAAGTCTTGCAAGAGAAATAACTTTGAACTACATTTGGTCAGCAGTGCATCAAGCCCACATTGCACACATGAAGCTGTTTGTCACATTAAAATCTTTTTGTTATGGTGTTTAATTGTTTCCTTATTTCTTGCTTGCTGCTCATTTGGTTCTGTGATGCGAATACAGAGGGGGGAAACAGTTGTGTTGCATCTTTATTCTAAGAAAATAAGCAGAATCCCTCGTGCAGCATCTGGTGTGAAACATTCCATGTATGTAATAAGCGTTTTCAATGCACTCGTACACACCAACATAACATTATCGTTGCAATCTGATAGTCTGTGGCTGCCCCTTTTTGCTCTGAAGTGGTACTCTGCAAAGATTTAATTCCACATATAGCACATTGGAATAAATTAAACTAGAGTTTAAAATGTTTTTTGTTGCAGCTTGTAACCATGTGTTTCAAGTGCTCCATTAAAAAGAATTATTTAAATCTAGATTAACCTAAAACTTTGATCTCCCTAATTTAAAAAGGAATCAGTGCCCCTCCTAAACTTTGACACGAATGAGCAAAACATACATCCAGGGCTCACTTATTGAGGTAATCATTTTAAACGCCCTGCATCCTCCTTCTGACTGTACTGTACTTTTCTTTTAGACTTTCTCTCATTCGATATAAAAGACTGTTGATGTTAATTTATTTTCATCTGTGGATTATTCTTTTGTTTCATTTCTTAAGTCCACATCCACCCTCAGGATGAATGAGTGCTCTTATTATTTGACTCTCTACTCACAGTCAGTTTTCTCTGAACTCAGCCACAGAGGAAATGGCAAAGGGAAAACATAAACCAAAAAAACCATGTTGCTGCTCCAGAGGTATAAAGCTGGCTTTCTTTGTTTGCCTTGTTTATGCTGTTTTATGTCACAGCTTTTATTCTGACACTCACTGGAGGTTCAAAGTCGGAGGGCAGGACATGTGTTTTCTATTTTTATATAGAAAGCACATTGCTACACAGGACCAGAGGCTTTTGTATATATGAAAGGTTCAGATGCATTATGTAAAATAAACTTTAAGTATATGATATCATGTTTTTGTCTTGTTTTTTTGCAGACATGAACTGTTATGGGGGGAAAACAACAAATTAACAGATGCTGCACAGCAATGAGCATGTGAACTCTCCAGAATTCATGTCACATCTGCCAAATTATTACTGAAAAACTATTCATACAGCTTCTTTCTGTGTGCAGCACACATTGAAACTCTGATCAAAACGATTCATCTGTGTTTGCTGAAGACATGCCAACAACTCATCTAAACAGGATCTATTTATACAATATAATTAAAAGGCTTTCAACAAGGCTGGGGAACCACAAAGCTCATCCTGCTATTATATTTGTCTGCTTTGGTTTAGCCTCTTATTTGAAGTCAGATATATACATGGAACTGCACAGTACTCAGTCTATCTTTTTGTTTATCTCAGTGTAGGCGTGTGTAAACATGGGCACATACTGCAGCATGGTATATGCTCTTATGTCTTCAAGAGGAATGGCTAAATGGTCAAAGCAAAGAGAAATAATAGACATCTTCAGCGAGGGAATGCCTTTGTGCTCTAACCTGTGACCTTTTCCCTTAGTTTTGGTTTAAATTAGATGACTGCTTACACATTTTCCTTCAAAACAGACTGTCAGATTGCTTGGTACCGTTGTCTCATCTGCTGTTGTCAGCTTTCTCATGGCCCCCTCTCTCCCTTCTCTGCCTGACAGATTTTAGCACTAAAAATTATATAGTTAACAGCTTTTTGGCCCTTTGAGGATTGGTGCACACCTAATTAAGGCATTTGAAAACTAAAATTAAACATTACTTACCAAAACGACACAGGACTAATTACGTCAGTCCCACATTCCTTTCAAATTGCTCAATCAAGTCACAAATGCAGATGCTGGTTTATCCATTGATTCTGCTAGAGAAACATGAGAGAAACCAAACAGATTTGCCCACCTCCACTGACATCTGATCATAATGATTACTTGTCAGTCACTGTAAAATCTCTAGACTAGTTCTATCAAAAAAAAAGACTCATTTCAATATTTACATTCTGTAAATTTAATGCTTTTACACTACCTTCCTATGTATTCATATCCCTTGACCTTTTTCGCTTTTTGTCCAATTACAGCCATAAACATGAAAGTATTTTATTGCGATTTTATGTTATTGGCCAACACAAAGTTGTGTGCATAGCTCTTATATGTGAATTGGAATTCTGAAACGTTTGGCATACATTTTTATTCATCCGCCCCGAGTCAATACTTTGCACAACAACCTTTTGCTGCAATTGCAGCTGCAAGTCATTCTGAGTTTGTCTCTGCCAACTTTGTAAAACCAGAGATTTAAAAGTCTGCCCATACTTCTTAGCAAAATGTGTTGAGTTCAGTCCAACTGCATGTGCCACACATAGCATTTTGCATGCAACTAAGAGAAGTTTATTTCCTCTCTGACAACAGTAGCTTCTACTTATTTGTCATGTTTCCTACGTGGTTTATGGTTTCAAAGTTGCAAACCTGTCAGTGTGGCAGCGGCTAAAAACAGAATTTCACTGCATTATATGTCTGTGAAAATGTCTTATTTTGTTTGTCTTCTAACAAGAGAACAAAAAGAGAAGCCAACAAAATAAGCTTTGTTTGGCATTTGGCAGCATTAAAAGTATAGTGAACATAAGAAATGAATGCAAAACTGTAATAAGTTGATGTTGATACACTAATAGTTATATAATGATCTTTAGACAATTCATACAACAAATTATACTATGTTTGCTCCGCTTAGGTGTCAATCAGAAATTTAGATCTGCTAGTAGGAATCCAGTTGTTATTTGTATTTGAAAGTATACCAAATATACCAATGAAACCATCTGCAAACAGCTTCCAGCATATGAGAAAGCCAACAGAGGTGTCCATATAAATAATGCAGCCATAATCAATCTGAGGTAAGAAATGAATGCATATTTCTAATGAGATAACTATTGTTTGTGGAGGCTTTATGAATAATTCTTATAATTCAAAATTGATGTTACCACACTCTTTAACAAGAATAAACTTACAAAAAGTAGTAGCATTTATCCCCTTCTTTTAATCAAAAGGGGAGCATGTTTTCTATCCTTTCATCACCAACCTTTAACTCTCATCATTTCTATAAAAACTTGACCTTTATAGAAACATGTTTCAAACTAAACTTGATTTTCGACATATACATATTAATAGTATTCTTAAGGTCAAAAACGATGAGGCCAGAGCAGAGAACTTGCAGTGAAGTTAAAAGAAAAGTATTGAGGGGCATTTGTGATCTCTGAATATATTTTAGCTAATAGAAGTCAAAGGTTAGAGGATGTTGTCCTTTCCTGAATGTAAATGTTGAATATTTAACTGGGTGGGGTTGAACTTTTGTGGCTTTTGTTAGCAGAGTATGTGATAATTTTTACGTGAGAGTGCTGCTCCCAAGAGCCTTAGATGGTATGTCAGTCAATAGAGAATTATTTCTTTCTAAATGTTGAAAAAAGGAAGAAACACACAAAAGGGCTGATCAAGTGGTGGCGGTGCCACACAAGCTCTAAAATTCAAGATTTGATAACATATTGTAGAGACTTTGTCAGTATATAAAGTGATGAATAATTCACTGTTCTTTGGCCTACATTATTATAAGCTGTACTGGTATAATAAAACAGTGCTCTTATAGAGAACCACTCAATAATCATAGCTAGGTATCACAAATCTTCTCTTTACTTCCCAGGTGATATTTTCTTTAACAACATGATCTGTCATGTTGTTAAAGAATTTTATACAATCTTGCTGGTTCCTTGAGCAGCTGCTGGACTCCATAACCATCAGTGCTCCCAACAAACTCATTAAGTGTTTACATCCCTACTGGTATTTGCAGAGTTTAAATTATTTTAAAATAACATTGCACATTTGTTTTTCTGCACCATTTTAATTTTTCATAAATTGTAAATAGACTGTTGTCTTCAAATAAATCATACCACTCAGTTGCACATCCCTTGGATCAGAGTACTCTATTTCTGATAACTGCACAGTGTTCATGTTATAATACTGTATAGCATGTTATTGTAACCCATACACCAAGAGTGCGTGATTACTAAGAGATTAACGCTACAAGAGGCGGTGTTTTTTATTCTCGGCAGCACCAGTAGGGGGCAGTCTTTATCTTCAGCTTGTGTGTGTGTGTATGTTGGAGAAGCGCGTGAAGTAGAGAGAAAGAAACGCACGTATAAAATTATTGATAAAAAAGGAGAGAAGTGAGGATAAAGTGTGGGAAGTGAGTGCCGTATGTTGGGATATCGCTGAGTGAACCGCGGACATTGACGGAGCTGGATAAATGTTTACTTACTCTGGAAACTCCGGTGAGTAATATCGGTAAATGAAGCTAACAGCTAGCAAAGCTATCGGCGTAGAGCAGTTGGTTAGCGAATTGACTAATAATTAGCTTCATCTAGCATAGTAAAAAGTTAGTTAATGCCAGTAAACCAGTCGCAGTATTTTTGGAGACTTTTAGAGTTTAAGTATGTTATCCAGTAAAATATTGTAATGACGCCAGCACACCACACATGTAGTCCCGCCAAATGGGTTTATTAGTAATTAGAAACGAGTCGCTATTTCTGAGGCCGCAGCTGACACCTCCAACAAACCGTTGCTTTCCCCGAACGAGCTTCCTGCTAACACCCCCGAACTCCCTCCTCTTCCGGCCCTGTCCTCCCCTGATCCCCCGCCCACATGACATGTCTGTCACATGTGAGTGGGAGTCAGCAGAGTCAGACAGGGGAAGCCTATAACTTTATACACACAACAATAAAGATCACAATGTAACATGCAACAAATACACATAACCATATGGACACCAGCAGAACTAAAGCACAGAATCGTTATGTTTATTGGTTAATATTAAAATTGTTAAAAGTTAATATTTGATAAAGATTTAACTGTTTAATCTAAAGCATGTTGTAATTTCATGATAGGTGAAATTTGATATAACTGTCTAAAACATACATGGAGAGGTTGTCTCTACTTTCATGTTAAAAAGCTAAGCATTGTGGAATAATTCATGATATTTCAATGCTATGAAACATACCGGAAATGGCCTGCATTGTACCATACTCCACTGAAAAGAGAGAAGTGTCGAGTTGAACCAGGCGAATGTTAATTTAATATTTGGAAGGGAGTGAACGTCTTTGTTCACCTCCTTTGCTGTTATTGCTAAAACTACAGGCAGACTACAATCTTTACCTGAAAACAACTAGCTCTTCCATTTGTGACCATGTACAAATGATTTTTTTAAAAAAATGATTTCTGTACAGCTTTGGTGGTTCATGTTATTGTAATACTGCAACACACCAAAACTGGAGCAATTTTGAGTTCATCAGAAGGACAACACATCGAAATCCAAATGTAGGACTTTCCTAAAATAAATACTGTTATACTTTTAGATAGAATGTTAATTATAACTATAATTAGTTTTTTTCTTCTAAAAAACTCTTTGTCAATTTAGCTTTGAGCACAAAGATTGGCTTGTTCCTAAGTGTTGCTCTCAGCTTGAAACCCTTCCAGAGCTATCATCTCAAGGGATGTTTATCACATAGCTGAGGGGTTGGATCCCACTTACTGCTGAGGGAAAGACCCCGTTGTTAAGTAAGTGGATGGATCCTGGGTACCTCCAACTAATAATGTGGCATCACTTCCAGGAGCACAAAGCAGTCCCCTGAATACCAACAGGATGCTGCTGGGTCCTTAAAGGCACGCAACCACCAGCAGACAAGCGGTGCCAATTAGCACAGGGCCCCTACTCATCAGCCATGTGTTCAGATTTGATTAGAAAAAAAACATTCACCGCATCAGAAGACAAAACCGTCCCCTTGGGCACTTCACTTCCTCTCATATCCTTATTTGCACCATTAAAAGGGACTTTATTATGATGCTAACTGTGAGACCACTTTGCAGAGTGTTGTGGGGAAGAATGGAAGCAAACTAGTTACTGTATTGCATCTTTGTTTCCATCCACAGAGGGACTCTACCAGATGACCTGAATAAAAATCATGCTCTCTGTCTGGCCTCCTTGAATACTATCTGAAGAGGGTAGGAACTGAGAATCATCCTGTTTTTAATGGCTACTTTTTTGCTGGCATTTGCAAAGTGTGCAAATGAATAGAAGTCTCTTGTGCTCCCAAAAGGTGTGGCATTGTGCTACTGATGGCGCAGCTGCCTTTCAGAGTTCAAGGAACATCACCTGGTAAGCTGGTCCACACAATATTATTTTTATACTCTTTTTACATTACTTTCAGATTCCTAACAAGCTCCTTCTTTTTGTTAGCTATATTGTCTCTGCCTGATGTAGGAAACAATAGACGCAATGAGCTTTCCCTTGAGTCCTCAAAAAAATTTTGGTATTTAATAAGAGTATGATTTAAGTCACATTCTCTCACAATTTGCAGTTATTAATCTTGTTTCAAGATCAGTTTTTGTTTCACTTCAGATACATTTATTATGTTTATTTCAGAAATAATATTTTCAGTGACAATACGTTCTTCAATACCAATGTTACTTTTCAGTATCTTTTTAAGCTGTCATCTTTTTTAGAGCTGGAGTTTTAAATATGACTCCATTATACACCAAGAGGCTGAATGTTATTTTCTTATTACACAACAGCTCAGTGCCACATTTGAACTAAGTGACTCCATGTTTCTATTTTTCCAACAATGACTTTCTCCTTGGCTTTCTTGCATAAAGGCTATAGTTTGGGGAATTACTGAAACTACTAGTTGCTTTGTTGACAGATTCTCCTACCTCCATTACTTTTTTCTAACTTGAAATGCTAAAAGTTTGGCATAATGTTTTAAAACCTAACCCTGCCAATATAAGCTTTTCCCCGCTTGGTCTTCATGATGTCATTTATTCTCTAACACATCTGAGAGGTCTTCACAGAACAGCTGTATTTACATATTAAATTACACACAGATGCTTTTTGTTTTCCAGTTAGGTGACTTCTGAAAGCATTTGGTTAAACACTTTTATTGAGAGGTATCAGAGTAACTGGCTTAACAAATATGCATGTCTTGTTTAATCCCCTCCATTTCTCAATTATGCCCTGCTTTGTGTTGTCATATCATATAAAATCCCAATAAAATAAAAAAAGCAACATAATTGATCCTCAATGCTTTGATTTTTTTTTTATATTTGTGTTAAGATGTTTTGATTCTGGTTGCTTTTCATATGATGTAAGACCTTTTTATGCTGCTTATCTTTTTCAGTTCAGCAAATTCTTTGTTCATCAAATCAGTCATCACAAAGTGAGCCCTGTGCCCTCATTTGACCCTGCTATTTTTTATAAAAGGTATTCAAAGTGCTTTGCGCTAATCTGATGAAATGTGTTTAACATTGTTTGTACACTTCTTCATAGGCAGCGGCTTTATTACAGGCAAAGCCAACAGAAGGCATGGCATAAGAATGCTGACAGGAATATTAAACGAGGCAGCCTGAGCAATATAGAATATAAATGAGCTTATTTTACACTGCAGAGCTCTGCAAACCAACAAACAGACTTCTCTATTTGTAATAAATCATTCCCATTCAGACGGCCTCCACTCTTAAGGCATTGTTTAATATTATCTGCAAAGAGGGGAGAAATAAATTGGTTTACATTGCAAAAAAAAGGTGCTGTGGTCGGAAAGCATCGCATGATGATGAGAGATGGAATATACTTGACTTATTGACGATAATGAACGTGCAAAAGAATGTTGCGTAGGGGGTTGGCATGTGGGAGCAATATTCATATTCTGCAGAGAAATCCCAAGTAAGCAGTAAATGTAGCAGAGTAAGATTTTCTGAAATAGTATTTAAGTCCCTGTGCACCACTTTCAATAGAACATAAAATGTAATTTAATGCCTACACACCAACCTACTATCCTGCCTGTGCATTGAAGAGATAAATATTTTGTCAGAATGGTGCAGAGTAAATATGAAATGACAATTACTTTGCTGAAGAAACATCCCTTTGCATCATTCATGCTCTAGGCATTGTGCCATAGAAAACCTTCAATGGATGTTTCTTTTCTCGATTTGGAGACACAAAAGAAAATGCTCAAAACATACAGGTACAATTAAGTGAACTGAATATTATACTTTGGCTTTCCTTCAGCAAGATCCAAGATCAACAATGACAAAAGGGCATCAAAGGAAAGAAAACAGCATTTTTGCTCCGCTGCCTGAGAACATTTAGAAACACTCCTCCATGTCAAATGTGTTGCAGCATTCCCAAAATGAGTGCATTGTGGCAAAGCCGTTCCCAGCAGAACAGTTACATAAGCGAGGCAGCTACTGAGTACAAAGATGTACAAACTTTAAATATGAATTCAAGAACTATATGATTTTCACGGCTCTGTATGACAGGAGCTGATATATGAATCTGTGCAGAATCAATCTGAAGCTTTGGACAGTCGAACGTGAAAAGTGAGGGCGGGGGGAAATGGAAATTTTGATATTCAAGCGTACATATAAAATGCTAAAACTTGGATTCTACCTGCAATATTGGTTATTAGCAGTTTTTTTTCCCATTTAATCTACAACTCTGAACCTGCAAAAATACATTATATTACATATTGGATGTAATGTGGTTTTTCTGGCAGTATTTGATTGACAAGAAAGGTGTGCGAGGGAGAGTGTGTTACATGCATTTCTTTCTACAAGTTGAGATTCTCACTATTATATAGTGGGGAATGAAAATTACTTTCAAGCAGCAATTTCTTCATTGAACTGTTGCAAGAATCATTACATGTACAAACCTCCATCTTTGGAGCTTGGCCCATTATTCTCTCTTATTGCTCTTTTCCCATATCTCCTCATATGCAGTACAGGCCTCTAACATTTCAGTATTTAGAGATAGGGAGGCACTGGGATCCCTTCTGATCAGATAACATCAGGATACTCTGTTAAAGACTGGACAGCATGTGCTACTGTAGCTCCTTTGGGGCTGAACTATGGTTTCAGGTTGGGGTGATTCTAGCTTGTTTTATCAGATCATTATCTTGTTGGTCATCCTTAAACATCTGTCATATCTTTATTTTTAGAAGCACATATATGACAACCTGATAATATGGAGCATGCGGTGCCAATAGTAGAGAAGTTAAATAGAACGGACATGCTAAAAAGAGAAAAACTTGATTTGGCTTCTGCAATGACTTGGCTTAAAGATATCAAAAACACTCTTTTCTGCTGAATTATTCTCGTACTTTATCTTTGACTATAAAAACAAAACCCTAAAAGCAAAAGAACTGTTGGCCCAGTGGCTGAAGACTTAGCTCTGTTGCAGTCGTGACATTGAGAGCTACCAACCTGCAGCTTTTAGATGCATCCCTTCTCCAACAGACCTGGACCAAAGGAATTGCTTCGTACCAAGGCTCTGCAGAGCTGAAGAAATGCTGATGAGGAAATTGAGCTGTCTGATTCAAGGGTGTAGGAGCAAAGATAAACCTGAAGATGCAGGTTGGTAGCTTTCGAGGACTAGACTTGGACATCTCTGTTCTAAATTAAAGTTGTTTCACATGATACATGGTCAAACATGAGTGCAATATTGGGAGATTGGTATCAATTTTGGGTTAACAGTACAGATACAATACTTGATTTAAAATTTATGATTGTCCATTACATGATGGTATTTTAAGGCATGTGTATGATTTTTTTCAATATATTTTTTTCTTTTAGCCTTCATAGTTCACCACTGTTACAGTGGTGATGGACAGAATGGCCAAGGGTTTTAAAAGCACTCTGTGTATGCGATTTACCACAGTATCAAACAAGAGTCTGTGATTAAAACTGTTAAACACTAAAATTCAGGTTGGATTCAGATATTACTTCTCTGGTTCTGACCACCGTCATTATAAACATAAAAAGGAAAGGTTCCTGTAAAAGATTGCCTTTTCATACCTTTTGTTTTGTTTTTTTCTAAGCTTTTGATATTTTCATTATCCTTTGGGAAAAAGCTTCTTCAGTGGAGAGACTGTTTTTAGTGAAAGAGGGGAAAGTTGCCCTTTCTACCAGATGCATGGATGATTTTTGTCGCAAAAGTGCTTATTATACCCTTTTGCTGTGTCATTAATAGGAGGGCACACATCTGTTTGACATATTCTCATTACAAAGATCGATTTTAGCAAAGAAAATTATCTGATTTCGGCGTGGAGCCATAAAGAGTGACGGGCTTCAAGACAGCAGTTACAAACACCATTTAATTCATAAAGTATTTCATTGGCAATATATGAATCAAGTCCTAAAAGCTCTTTGAATTGCCTTGTTGCTGAAAATGTGCTATATGAATAAAATTACCTTACCTTACCTTAAACTGAATGTTAACAGCTACATAAAACTGAATTATGGAAACTGCTACAAAGCAAGGAGCCTCCTTAGAAGACAAATCTTCTGAAATATTCTTTATTCTTTATCATTATTGCTTTCCAGTGTGAATCTGGGTGCTTTGATTTGCTTGTCAGTTTGTTGCTGATACATACAAATTTCCCTACAGATGTACAAATAAAAAAACTTGTTCTATTCTTTGAACAAGTATAAAGGCTGCTCTTATCCGAGCTTAATATTCCCTAAAAATCAATATTAAATGGTTTTATTTATTCAACATGCAAAGGTTTGGTGCGATATATGTCCTTGTCTTTTTCTTAGGAGTAAAACCCCTAATTAAGTCTGCACTAAAACCAAGGGACTTAAAGAAAATTATTCTTTACCAGAACATTAATCATAAAAAAAAATTAATGGATATCAAATATTTAATATAGTAGAATGTACAGCTTGTATTACCAAGGATTTTTTTTTTTTGCCAAATTGATCTTGTAGAGGAAAATCCATAATTAAAATTATGCTAGCAAGGACAAATCATTAAGATTTCTTTTCACCTTCATGCTTCAGGAAAAAGAAATATACACCCTGCCAGTGATGTATAGGCTATTAGAGGCAGAAATAAATTATTACTGTCTCATGTAAAAATGGCTGCCTGATTACGTTAGCAAAAGAAAATTAGGTGAGGATTTTTGTGTAACTGAATCTCAGACGTTCAAAATAGGGAAATTAATGAGAGTAGTACGGTAACTTTTCTAACCCTAAGATGATGCACACTATTACGTGTAACCTTTCTATCTGTATGTAAAAGGCTTTTGCACTGTGTGCATGTCTATTACCATAAGCATCTGAGTTTGACCATGTTGTCAGTCAAATATTTTTACATGGATCTGGTGAAAA